GCGCGGTGGCCCGGTGCTCGGGGCGCCGGCGGATCCGCGTGTGACGCGGACGCGCTCGGCGCCGTCGGTACCGGGTCGCGCGTGCGTCCGAGCGCCGGTCCGCCCCCGGAGGGGCGAGCCGACGCCGAGGGCGGTCGCACGGCCGCGACCGCTGGGGTCCCGGCGTACGACCGACCGCGGTTCGTGTGTGTGTGGGTACGAGGTGTGCAGAGGGGCGCGGCCCGAGGGGGCGCCCGACGCGACGTGACTCGTGTTGACGAGGGCCGCGGAGAGAGCGGCGGCGCGGCACCCGATGTGGGAGCCGGACCGCCGGCACGCTCGCGCGCGCCACTCGCCCGATTCGTAACGGCCCCCAGCCGAGATCGTGGGGGAAGCCGGGACGCGACGCGAAGTCCGTCGTCCCGGGGCTTCGCCCCGGCGACCGCCGGGCACGGCGACGATGGCCGGCCGCGGCGGGAATGTTCTGGCGTCGAGAGCCCGTAACTTGCGAAACGGTAGCGGGAGTCGTCATCGATGTGTTTTTCGCGCGCCGCGGACCCACCGGTAGGAGGGCCCGCGACGCCGGTCGAGGTGTGCCACTCGGCGTGCGAGATGGGTCGGTCGCCGAGACTTGGACGGAAACCGCCGTCGTCCGCCGCGGCGCACCGGCCGAGACCGATGCACACGCGGCGGCGACGACGGACCCGTCGGCTTCGGCGTCGCCCGTGGCGTTGCTGTCGTACGTGATCGCGGCGAACGGACGTCGGCTTGACGCCGACGACCGGGCCGCTCACAAATTTACAAAATGTCGGGTTTCACCGCCCGCCGGCCGGGTATGGACGCGTGGCGGTACGGCCGGGCCGCCACCGTTTCGCCCATCAGAGCGCGTAGCGGTCACGCGCGCGCCGTGCCCGCGGCCTATGTCGGCGCGTAGCGGTCACGCGTCCGCGGCTCGCGATCCGTCTCGGCGCGTGGCGGTACGGCCGTGGCGGTGAGAAGAAATTCCGAAAACCGACTGGCGTCCCCGGCGCTCGGGAATCTGATAGTATTTCGCACGGCCGACGCGATCGCATCCGGGGTGCGTCGCGAAAAAACCGACCGTTAACGAGTTATCGACCTCGGAAAAACGTGTGGTCCGAAAAGTTGGAGTGCAGAACGCGCCGGTCCGAGGGGCCCGGGCTGCAGCCATGGAGACCACCCCGGCACTGCGGAACGCGGCCGGACGTCGGCCGACAAAATAAAAACCGATATTTTTTAGCGCGCGTTTCGCAACGGTTACATCGAAACCGCGAACGCGGAGCACGGTCGCCGGGTCGGACGCCCGAGAACATTTTTCGTACGCGAGTGACGACCCCGGGTCGCGGACTTGGAATTTTTTTTTTCGTCTTCACCCGATCGCACGGCCGGGCCGACGGACCACGGCCGAGAGCGGTCGACGGCACCGGGCGCTTCGACGCGACGCGGTCGTCGGCAGAGCTCGCCGGGGGCTGTGGTTTCGCTAGATACCGGGAACCGCGGCCGAGTCCCGGGGCCCCGGTCGGACGCCCGAGAACGTTTTTCGTACGCGAGTGACGACCGCGGGTCGCGGACTTGGAATTTTTTTTTTTCGTCTTCGCCCGATCGCACGGCCGGGCGGTCGCCGGCAGCGCTCGCCCGGGGCTGTGGTTTCGCTAGATACCGAAAACCGCGGCCGAGTCCCCGAGCCCGGGTCGACGAGCGGTCGTCGGGTGTCCGTCACGCAGGCCAAACCGGGTCGCGGACTTGGAATTTTTTTTTTTCGTCTTCACCCGATCGCACGGCCGGGCCGACGGACCACGGCCGAGCGGTCGTCGGCACCGGGGCGTGGTGGCTGTGGTTTCGCAAGATACCGGGTACCGCGGCTACGACCCGGGTTCGTCGGGGCAACGGAGTATTTCGCATTGGCGAGCGTATACCCGAGCTCGGCGACCGGGGAGCACGAAATTTTTTTTTAACCAACATCGGCGACGGCCGTGAGGCAGAACTCGCCGACCGCCGCGTCCGGAGGATCAGAGATGGTACTCGACATTCGTGAAACTCGCCCGTGCACATCGACCGCACCGGAGCACGATCGACGCGGGGATAGGGACAGTGGCGACCGCTCGCCCCGGCGCCCGCGGTGCGCAGCGAGACCGAGGCCCCCGATTATTTTGGCGCCGCGCAGCGGCGGCCGCCCCCGGCGAGGACCAGACTCGGCGACTAAGTGCCGCTGCGTAGCGGTCCGGCACCCGGAATCGACCGGGACGGTGCATCCGCGGCGACCTGCGACCCTCGGCACGGCCGACGCCCGGTGAGTAGCACACCACGCCGAGAGCACTGCACACCAACGGCGTCGACCCCGGGGGATAGGGACAGTGGCGACCGCTCGCCCCGGCGCCCGCGGTGCGCAGCGAGACCGAGGCCCCCGATTATTTTGGCGCCGCGCAGCGGCGGCCGCCCCCGGCGAGGACCAGACTCGGCGACTAAGTGCCGCTGCGTAGCGGTCCGGCACCCGGAATCGACCGGGACGGTGCATCCGCGGCGACCTGCGACCCTCGGCACGGCCGACGCCCGGTGAGTAGCACACCACGCCGAGAGCACTGCACACCAACGGCGTCGACCCCGGGGGATAGGGACAGTGGCGACCGCTCGCCCCGGCGCCCGCGGTGCGCAGCGAGACCGAGGCCCCCGATTATTTTGGCGCCGCGCAGCGGCGGCCGCCCCCGGCGAGGACCAGACTCGGCGACTAAGTGCCGCTGCGTAGCGGTCCGGCACCCGGAATCGACCGGGACGGTGCATCCGCGGCGACCTGCGACCCTCGGCACGGCCGACGCCCGGTGAGTAGCACACCACGCCGAGAGCACTGCACACCAACGGCGTCGACCCCGGGGGATAGGGACAGTGGCGACCGCTCGCCCCGGCGCCCGCGGTGCGCAGCGAGACCGAGGCCCCCGATTATTTTGGCGCCGCGCAGCGGCGGCCGCCCCCGGCGAGGACCAGACTCGGCGACTAAGTGCCGCTGCGTAGCGGTCCGGCACCCGGAATCGACCGGGACGGTGCATCCGCGGCGACCTGCGACCCTCGGCACGGCCGACGCCCGGTGAGTAGCACACCACGCCGAGAGCACTGCACACCAACGGCGTCGACCCCGGGGGATAGGGACAGTGGCGACCGCTCGCCCCGGCGCCCGCGGTGCGCAGCGAGACCGAGGCCCCCGATTATTTTGGCGCCGCGCAGCGGCGGCCGCCCCCGGCGAGGACCAGACTCGGCGACTAAGTGCCGCTGCGTAGCGGTCCGGCACCCGGAATCGACCGGGACGGTGCATCCGCGGCGACCTGCGACCCTCGGCACGGCCGACGCCCGGTGAGTAGCACACCACGCCGAGAGCACTGCACACCAACGGCGTCGACCCCGGGGGATAGGGACAGTGGCGACCGCTCGCCCCGGCGCCCGCGGTGCGCAGCGAGACCGAGGCCCCCGATTATTTTGGCGCCGCGCAGCGGCGGCCGCCCCCGGCGAGGACCAGACTCGGCGACTAAGTGCCGCTGCGTAGCGGTCCGGCACCCGGAATCGACCGGGACGGTGCATCCGCGGCGACCTGCGACCCTCGGCACGGCCGACGCCCGGGGAGGATAGGGACAGTGATCTCAATGCCATGAATACTGTGAATATCTCGTTTTGCCGTCATCCGGCATACCGTTGGAACTTTCGGAGACTTCATCGGAGTGACAGCTGTCACGGTGTCTTCTGCCGTATGAGGGAGTAGCACATTCATGAGCGACATACGTAGCGGGACGGTGCGATGGAATAGACGAAATAAAAACCCATGTCGCCGCGTAGTGGCACGGAATTGACTGCTTCAAAAAAAAAATGTATACAAATAGCAATGTCGAAAATTAATGTTTTTCGCGTAGCGGCAAGGCGGTACGTTGTCGAAAGAGAATTAATGTCGCCGCGTAGTGGCACTGCAACGTGAAATTAAGAAAAACCGTAATCTATAAAAATTTCAATTTCGGGGAAGCGGGTATCGGAAATAAATACAATGTCGCCGCGTAGTGGCACTGCTACGTGAAATTAAGAAAAACGTGATCTATAAATATTTCAATTTCGGGGAAGCGGGTATCGGAAATAAATACAATGTCGCCGCGTAGTGGCACTGCTACGTGAAATTAAGAAAAACGTGATCTATAAATATTTCAATTTCGGGGAAGCGGGTATAG